TTTTTTTTTAAATAACGTGCACCAATTTTCAACCTTTGAACAGAACCAAAAGTACGCATTGGTGTCGAACGAGCATCCACAATGGGCAGTAACAGCTTGGTCCATAGTCTAACAGTAGGGAAGCCAAGATAGTGAAAATGAATGTGATGACGAACATTGAACGGCGATGGGACAACAATGAGACGTTTATAGAACCCAGAGGCTGCTTTTCACCATGTGAATTCGGGTAATACAGTAACTCCCAGAGACTCCAAAGACTCCCCCCCACCCCGTGTAGCCTGAACAGACTGTTGGGGCAAGTGCTGTTAGCGAGCAGCTATGAAGGCCGGCACGGCACACGACGGGGTGGGTGGCCACCACCACGCCCGGCCGCATTAGTCTCCCTAGTGGCGGTTTACACACCGCACCAGGTACTCATTTGAGGCCGAGTCGACCTAGGGGAGGCCCATGGATCGGTTCAGATAATCATCACCGGTGTTGTCCGTGAGCGGGAATCGAACTCGGGTCGCCGGGTTCGTAGCGCAGCGTAGCGCTAACCCTGACGCGCACAGAGTTGGGTTGACCTCTCTCGCCGAGATCGGCAAACACCTTTGCACGTCCTTGCGCTCCTGCTAGTGCAGACATCGTTGGTCAACGATCTCTCTGCTCGAGCGCGAGTGCCCTGTGGCCCCATTTTGTTCGTGGCACCGAGTCAGTGGCTGTGGAAAAAAAAAAATCCACATTCCTATGACGGAGGACAAGCACTGGCGACTTCCCGCAGCGACGCTTATTTTACCGAGCCCTCCCTGGGGGGGGGACAACGATGATGACCCGAGCTGCTTCTCGACTGGAATGTGAACTCGTGACATTCAGATTGGAATCCCGCACTTGGGCCACAATGGCTCTCCCAGCTGCAGCATACGAGAGACATCGCCGGCAGGACGTGTTGCCTGCCCAATGGGGGGTTGTCCTAAAGTCAGGACAAATAGGGGGGGGTTACATTGATTTTTAAACTGCCTTCGAACCGTTTTCAATGATTTATTTAATCTTCCCTTTCAGATGACATTTAAACAACATGGATACAAATTTGACTTAAAGATGAAAGCGTTCAATTAGTTTGTATGAATGCTGAAGGCAGCTGAGATCTTTAAAAAAAGTCCCAAATTAATTACAAAAGAGAATTCATGCGTGCATTAATGTTCATGGAAGTCAGTTTGAACATGTGTTTCAAATAAATTAGATATCCCAGTCATTTGTTAAAATAAATAAGTATAACCCTGCGTGTCCTGACCTTTGGGCGATCCTGTATATTTTTAATGCGTCACGTGGGAGCAAAAAGAAAAACAACAAACACATATTTCGGCATGACGACGTATACATATATTGCTTTATACTTAAAAATTACAACGCCTTAATTTTGTTTCATCAAGGAAGATTCTCATTGTGTCAAGGACGTTTTAAGGATGATTCTATGATATTGGGAAGTTTGGCCATTTTCGTAATGAGCTTGTTGCTACGTTTGCAAAAAAAAACACCCAGAAACACCTGGAAGAAAGAAATGCAGACAAAAGGATAGCACGCGAAAACTTTTGCAGAACAAAAAAACTTATCTGCTGTGCTTCCTCCTCCAGACACATTCACTAACCGGTGACGTGGCTGTCCTGCACACGCTGGCAGTGCAAACTTTCCAAGCTGCTGGGCTCACGAGGAGTGAGCAATATTCAGCAGCAGCTTAAATAACTGCCAGACACTTATCCGAACCACCCAGGGCGGAGACTCACAACATGTCGTGTGGAATGAGGGTTCAAGAATCGATTCCCTCTGCGCTCGCTGTCATCACAAACCGTACAATGCTTATCACTCATGAGTATTATTAAGAACAAGCCGCGTTCACGGCACAGCTAATTAACGGGCTGCATCTGAGAAAGAGTATTGGAAATAATACGCGTATACATGTAGAATGATGGGGTGGAGGAGTTTTGTAGCGGTTCGCGCATTGTGCTACGAATCCCCGATACCCGAGTTCAATACCTGGCCATGGCAACCATCAGTGGAGAGCGATATCTGAACTGGTACTAGGTCATTCTTGACCTACCTGCACGAACCAGCGTGGTGAAGTATGGTCAAATAAAACCCCTGACTCTCATGGCATGGAGAGGGCTTTATCCAGCAGCGGATTGACAAGGGTCGATATTATTATTTGTATCATTTACCGATATATATAGTTACATGTGTTAGTCTACCCAAGCAAAACATTGCGATCAAAGCCCGCTGGAGTTCACATCCGGCATGGGGGTTGGTTGACTTTGTTATTTTTGTGTCATTTATAAAAATGAGAATCACGGTGGGAAGTAAACAGCATAGCCATCCTATCGAGATGATGACGACGATGCATTCCATGGGGATGTGGCTTTTCCATTGCTGGCTCTGAGCAGTCAAAAGAGACGAGTTCCCTCTCACTGTCAGCCTGAAGTGTGGGGAGACACATCGACTTGCCTTTGGAATTTCGATTGCGGTGTTTGGAGGATTTAAATTTGAAATTCTACCCTCATGCCTCGTGAACAGCCTGGCATCTGTTGCTGGTGCGCCAGTCTCAATCAACAAAAAACAAAAAAGACTGTTTATTGACTTGTTGGGCCAGTCGCATCCCACAAGGCCATTAGCAGGGAACAAAAATAAGATAAAAGTTAATGGATTTGGCATTTCCAACTCGGTGAGGCATGCACCGTTTCCTGTGTGCCACACGCAAATACAAATTTCGTGGAAAATCTCCAGAAAGCCTTTAAGGATGTGTTCACAAAGTTCAGCACGGCTACAAACGACAACTGAAGCCACGCAATCGGCTCGTAGGGTGAAAACTATTTTACGTGCAAGCTTCGAGGTATTTAGAAATTGCCCGGTGTCTAGACCATGCTGCGTATAAGATAAATAAATTAAATAATATAATACGACGTTTCGATTGCAACACAAGCAATCGTCATCAGGTAGAACTAGATTTGAGAGACAAAACACAGACACAGAGACTGACACAAGCAGAGAGAGACAACACAGAGACACAGAGAGAGACACACAACATAGACACACAGAGACCCAATGCCTCTGTGTCGAGGCTTTAAATAAAAAGAGGGGGGGGGGGCAGAGAGGGAGAGGTGGGTCTGCTGGGGCAGCTGCTGGAGCAAAGAAATTAGCATGTCAATGAAAGACCCAACAAGACTGTCTGTATTCTTAGTTTTTTCGGTAAAGTCACGTTGAAGGGAAACAACAAAATAATAAAATATATAAAACAATAAAAAATTCTCACGACGTTTCGACCATAACTCAAACGGTCGTCTTCAGGTGTGTTGGTTTGCATAAATTTATTTTTAAACGGCGCATTTATTTATTTATAAAAACGTTAGCGTCACGCGCAACGATTTGGCAGTGTGACGCTAACGTTTTTATAAATAAATGCGCCGTTTAAAAATAAATTTATGCAAACCAACACACCTGAAGACGACCATTTGAGTTATGGTCGAAACGTCGTGAGAATTTTTTTATTGTTTTATATATTTTATTATTTTGTTGTTTCCCTTCAACGTGACTTTACCGAAAAAACTAAGAATATGAATTACTGCAGTCACGAAAGCTTTAAATCAAAATGTAAGACTGTCTGTGTGTCTATGTTGTGCGTCTCTCTCTGTCTGTGTTGTCTCTCTCTGCTTGTGTCTCTGTGTTGTCTCTCTCTGCTTGTGTGTCTATGTTGTGTGTCTCTCTCTGTGTCTCTGTTGTGTGTCTCTGTGTCTCTGTGTTGTCTCTCTCTGCTCGTGTGTCTGTCTGTGTCTCTCTGTGTTTTGTCTCTCTCTCTCAAATTTAGTTCAACCTGATGACGGTTGCCTGTGTTGCAATCTAAACGGCGTATTCTATTATTTAATTTATTTTCTTTCCACGTGACTTTACCGAAAGAACCAAAGAGTAATAATTCCTGCAGTCAGGAAAGCTTCAAATCAAGTTTGAACCACCTCTACGGGGAAGATGTAAGTTGTTCTCATTCTCTGTGTCTCTGTCAAATTTCACACAACTTCAAATGTTAGCAATCTTTGGAGATCATAAGCAACCAGGCTATGCGTTAACTGTGTGTTAGCCGACTCTCTGTGTTGCATTGCATTACATTTCCCAAAAAATTGCTACATTTTGTTTTCTCAAACTGCCGATTTCTCGCTCGAAAATTGACCAGGCTCTCATAGGTCCATTCGCTCTTTCTCTCCCCCGGTCGCTTCGGGGTGGATTTCCACACACCTATCTCTAAAATGTACCAGTCTTGTTGGGTCTGTTATTGACATGCTAATTTCTCTGCTCCAGCAGACCCACCTCTCTCTCTGCCCCCTCCCCTCTCTATTTAAAGCCTCGGCACAGAGGCATTCAGTCTCTGTGTGTCTATGTTGTGTCTCTCTCTGTGTGTCTCTGTGTTGTCTCTCTCTGCTTGTGTGTCTGTCTGTGTGTCTATGTTGTGTCTCTCTCTGTGTGTCTCTGTGTTGTCTCTCTCTGCTTGTGTGTCTGTCTGTGTGTCTATGTTGTGTGTCTCTCTCTGTGTCTCTGTGTTGTCTCTCTCTGCTTGTGTGTCTGTGTGTCTCCGTGTCTCTGTGTTTTGTCTCTCTCTCAAATGTAGTTCTACCTGATGACGACTGCTTGTGTTGCAATCGAAACGTCATATTCTATTATTTAATTTATTTTATTTCCACGTGACTTTACCGAAAGAGCCAAACAGTAATTCATTCAGTCACGAAAGCTTCAAATCAAGTTTCATGCCGTGTATGTCGCAGAAGTGGTCTCGGCGCACAGAGGGGGAAAAAACATCTAAGTACAGTATCGTGTTTCACACGCACTGCACCATTGAACTGTATTATTATTAAACACCAGGCATCTTTCGTTTTGTGAATATTCTCGACGCAAACGAAAGCCAGAATTTCATACAAAGAAGCGGACTTCACTTGAACCTTGGACACAAATAAAATGTGAGGCTGAATGATGGTCGACAGACGGAGCATTGTACAAAAGCCATTGCTTCATTTGCAAAAAACATACCATTTAAAATGACACACTCGCAATGTTTAGGATGATTAAGTTTGAGTAATACATTCCGGGTGGTAACATTAACCCTAACAAATGCAAATTGATACATCTTAGAATCTGATAAGGAAGTCAACTTAAGGTGTTGTACATCGTGCATGCTATCGCTATACGTATATATCGACAATGCGTGGAGGGGGCGTGAACTACTGAACCTGGTCAAACGCCACCTGCAGTGAGTGGATGCTGTAGCACGTGGAAAACGAACGTGTCCTAGCATAAAGGCCAGGAAAGTGATCCAACGTCTTTTTCCAGTGAGAATAACATCTTTTATACAACAAGACCACCGCTGTGAACTACAGTAACCAACAAACAAACAAAACTAATTCAATCTGAGGACAACTTTTTTTCTGGTGATGTAGGTTCAGAGACCATCAGTCCAGCACCGTTATTGTAATGGTGAGCGAAGGCATATGTCACGGCACGGGCAGCGAGACTTACACAATGTGCCTGGGGTGTTATACCACACCCCAGTCACATTGTCATTTACACCACCACCAAGCTACACACTACGCAGCTGAATAGTCCTTCGGTACCATTGGCTACAAAATCCACGATCAGTCTGGCATTTTTAAATAAACCCAAGGCGTATTGTAGTGAGCAATGTATAGTACGGCACAGCCTTGTTAGTCCTGTGCCAGTGACACCCAACAACGTATGTTCCCAAATGGTAGCCCCCCCCACGCCCCCCCCCATAGATGATCGAGGCCAAATGTAGTGGAAGAGCTTCTACGGTAGTGATATCTACGCGGCTTGACGGTTAGCCCGATGAACCCCGCAGGTGAGAGGCTACGGAAGGTTCTCGTTGGCAGCTTGCGAGTTTAATTTCCGATTCGTGGGAATCGACTCAGTCCACCACTCATCTGTGGACAATGAAGTGAGGACCACTACGTGGTGAGAAGTGTTCATCCCACGGAGAAAAAAAATGGCCCTCTGCCATATAAAACGTGCAATCTCGACCACCGGCTTTGATCGATTAGCACTGGCCCAATGCTTGTTTGAGCAGGGAGACACTTAGACTAAGTCACCGTCGTTGGTGAATGGGCTGTGGCGAGCAACTCGCTGCACTTGGTAACCTGGCGAACCCGATAGTGACAACGCAGCGCACGTGTGCAATGGGCATTAGCCTCTGAGCCCCCCCCCGCCAACCGCCCCGATCCCCCCAAAACCTTCTCACCAAAACCAAACAAAAAAAAACATTTAAATGCATAGTGTTGTTTAATTATTTGGCCATGGAATTCATACAAAGACATCATCAACACTCAGGGCCACTTACGTGAAAACACTTAAAACGGCTGTGGGCGTAACACATTTATATATGAAAGTAAAGTAGAAAAAAAAAATATACCAACACACAAGCCAGAAAGTAATGCCAGGCTCAACAATTAAGAAAACGCTCGCCGTAGCGGTGCGCGCCGACACTAGACCCCAAAACGAGCAAGCGGCAGCCGACAGCATAAAAATAACGCAATTCTCTACTTAACCGCCGTGGAATGTGACGCGTCGGAACGACCTAACACCGGCTTGAATTGCTTGCGACGAACTCGGCTTACCCCGGGGGGCTCAGACCATGCTTGCATGCCGAGAGCATCGGAGCGGAGTGACAGTTTGATCGTGGCGTCGTCGGCGTCGTCGCCGCCCGTTTACTATTCTAGGTTTCTCGTACGCCGACAAAACCCGACTTAATTGTTTAACTTAGCGTGTGGCCGCCGCGCTGGGGGGGGGGGGGGGTGGGATGGGGCGGCTCAGTTGAGGAGGTGGACGTAGTTCGCCGGGAAGAGGCCGTAGCGTCCGTCAGGCCCGTAGCCGCGCCACCAGCCCTCGTCGATCTGGTCGATGTGCGTGATGAGGTCGTCGGGGTCGAAGGTGATCTCCGTCTCGTCCGCTGTGCGTGCGCGACGGGGAGGCACGGGGAAGGAGACGTCACGCGACGAGAGGGGCTGTGGGGGCCATCACTTTCTCTTCTCTCACTATCACGTCGTGCAAATATACACGCCTCCTCCTGGAGTCATGAGAACGATGATGATGATAATAAAAACATATTATAGCCGTTCTCAATCCACCAATGGATGAGGGGCCTCCCCATGCAACGTAGGTTTTTTTTGTTAACCATACTTGACCACGCTGGTCAATGCGGGTTGGTGAAGGCGGGGAGGGCAGGACCAGTTCTCACATCACGCGCTACTGATGTTCGCCGTGGCAGGCAGGCGAACTTGGGTCGCAGCAGGGTTCATAGCTCGGTGTACTAACCTAACCACCGTTATCACGGCTCCATCCAATGTTAACGAATATTTATTCAAGTGGCGTAATTCAACTTTGTTGCCATTCTCGAATGAACATTCGCCAGCGAGCGATCGTCTCCCTCCAATGATGGCAATGAGCCAGTATTAACCATTCCACAAGGGCCAGCCTAATTATGGGGATGGAGAGTTGCCACCAGTTGGTGACGAATGTGGCAGCAATGCTCACTGTGAGCACAGAGACGCCATGGCCGACTTCAATTTCATTTCCGCTGACGCTGCAGTAGAGCGGGAATGGTCATAATTTCAATTCCCGTTTGGGTAACACTCAGCAGCCCCCGCCCCCCCCCCCCCCCCCCCCCCCCCCCCATAATCTCTACGGGTTGATACGTATGACCATGCGGGAAGTCTAAGAGTTGCTTTACACAGAGAGAAACGGATGCCCAAGAGAAAAGTTCAGAAATCCAACCACAGGCTCAGAGCTGCCGATGGAAACGGGCGCCGCGTTCAGTGCTCTTACGTGTCAGGTGACACACGCAGAGATGTGACATCTGTGTTCACACACAACTTATAGGAATATGCAGCAAAGGATAGAGAAAAAAAAAACCGAACCCCGAATAATAACTGTCGTATTGCAGATGCCGTCTGCTTCACAGTGGGGGTTAAAGACCCCAACGACGTTAATTGCACGAGAGGGCTGCAGGCCCTCGGTGTGTTGCTGGCATCATGATAAAACCGCGTGTAAAATCGCCCCCTACTGGCGGACGGTACTCGTGAAACAAAGCGCCTCCGTGAGAGCTTCGCACCGTTGCCTATGTACGGTGCAAAAGAAGTTCAACATACATACATACATACAAGAATGGCATGAATACCAAATCTACTCAACTAATACTAAACTAAACACATTTTTATTCTATCAGGCAGCTCATTTTCAGGGGTGACCTGGTCACAGATGATAGTTCATCGAAGCAACGTATATGATCATCATAACACACGTGCGAATTTATAGTAGCAGCCAAATAATATAATCTAAACGTGTGTTTTTTCTAAATGTGGACTGTGGAGGTCGAGCAGGGGGGGGGGAAACTGGAGAAACCCGGAGAGAAATCCACACGGGGAGAGAGAGGACACGTAAAACACCAAATATACAGCAGCAGGCATCGCCAGGGTCTGGAATCAAACCCCATGACCTCCTGCATCAGTGGCTGTGGCGACTAGCGAGATGGGAGGGCGAGCACGCACCGGCCTGGTAGTCGTAGAGGGCACGGGCGCACTGTCCTTTGCCCTCCAGGTCGTACTGCTCCGTCGGATAGCCGTCGGCAGACTCCTGCTGGTAGCCATCTTGCTGGTAGGCCTGCTGGTCCTGGTACTGCGAGTAGTAGTAGCCGGACGGGTCCGTCTGCAAAGCGCAACGGCGAGAGTGGCGCCGTGGGCACAGAATGTTGTGAGCGGTCACACACCTACGTCTGCAGCAGACGGGGTAAAGGAATGCTTACCAACGATACACTCAACATTATGAGACCTCCTTTGCCAGTAACAAGATATAGTAATAGGTTTTACCCTTTTAACTGGCACAAAAAAACTGACACCTTTATTCAAGACATCATGTCTGCAATAACCGCAACACAAACAGTCAAAATGCAAACAAAAAGACAGTGCCAATATTATTATCAGAGTTGTCTTTTTGTTTGCATTTTGACTGCTTGTGTTGCGGTTATTGCAGACATGATGCCTTGAATAAAGGTGTCAGTTTTTTGTGCCAGTTAAAAGGGGTAAAACCTATTACGATACACTCAACGTTCAATCTCACAACACATATTAGATATGCCAATAAGGTTAAGGCAAGAAAGAACCGTGCAATACCGTCGTACATGCACGGGTCCCTTCGTCAATTCACTGCTGGATAAGGGCCTCCCCATGCCACGCGGGCCGTGGGGAGTTGGCCACGCTGGTCAGTGTAGGTTGATAGGTGTGGAGTAGAGACTTTGGGGCACAATAGAAGTGCAGTGCAACAATGGATCTTTGCTGCCGTGCCCTCTGCTGTAGACCGCACTTTCCCACAACCTATGACATCTGTCATGCATGGCGGCTGCTCGTCCAAGCACCATCAACCCAACTTAGCTTTTTAGCTGTCTATGACCAAATTACCCAGAATGCAACTGATCCCATTATACCTCGGAAGAAATCACAACACGCTTTGCCAAAACCATGAAAGCTACAATGAACCAATTAAAAACCACACCTACCGATGTGGACCGTGACCCTCTTCCACGGTGACAGTCGTGGCAATTAAAGGTTATTCTTGGCCAACTGCTCCTACAGAGCATAAACCATCACGCAAACTCCGGTTATCCTCGCAAGAGCGGCTTTTGGCGAGCCATCGAACGGAGATAAGTCACCGCATCGCCAGCTTTCAGATGCGCTTCTGCGGCCATCTGGAATGGTCTTCCTTCCGATATTTGGAAGCCACTGAAGCCATGAACTTTAAATCTAGATTGAAAACTCAAATTTCTTTCTAACTGACTTTTATGCTTAGCTTGTTGGCCTTCCACGCACCTTCGATTTGCACGGTTGGCTACTTAGGGTGCAAAAAAAGTTGAACATACATACAAGACAAAAAAACCCCCGTATAGCCTTAACAGACTGTAGGAGCAAGTGCTGTTCGGGAACACCTTTGAAGGCCGGAACGGTACACGAGGGGAATTATGGCCAGCACCACGCCCGACCGCCTTTGTATCCCCAGTGGCGATGTTTACACATCGCACCAGGTACTCATGTGAGGCTGACTTGACCTAGGGGAGGCCCAGGACCGGGTGAGATAAGCGTCACTGGCATTGGCCGTGAACGGCAATCGAACCCGGGATGTCGGGTTCATGGCGCAGCGCGCGAACCACGACGCTACCGCTCCCCACGCACAGACACGGCCTCCTCCACCAGCGGCAGGTTGCCACGCTACAACACACGGAGCTCACGGGGATGAGAGCGCCAGGCATGGAAGGCGCTGCTCACGCGCCCCATGCAGGACTGCGATGACACTGGGACGTCGTCGCACGTGACCATGTATGTATGCATGCATGCATGATGAACATTTTTCGCACCTTACGTAGCCAACCGTGCTAACCCGCCAAGCTGTGTCGGTGAAAATGTTTGGGATTAAAAAGATTACCATCCTTGTGCTACTTTAAATCACTTTCGGACCTCTGATTTCCTTTCATAAGCACGTGGAATTGATCGCTCTACTCTGCAGACTAAGTTTATAAAACGTGATTCTTTTACGATGTTAACTAGCTCGGTGCTATTTTGATTTAAAGCTTTCGTGACTGCAGTAATTCATATTCTTAGCTCTTTCGGTAAAGTCATGTTGAAGGGAAACAATATATATTTTATTATTTTATTGTTTCCCTTCAACGTGACTTTACCGAAAGAGCTAAGAATATAGCTCGGTGCTGTTTTACGCGCAACATTTACTATAGGTGATGTTGTTTTACTACCATTGTTTTATTCATTATGCCGATTGTACCATGCCATTCGGACCTTGACTGTAACTGTTTTCACTGTACCCAGGTTCCAATTGTGCGAGGACGTCCACATCGGGTGTTTGTCCGTGCCAAACAATAAACGACCAACCAAACAACCTTTGTACACAACCACTCAAGACTATTTCACTTTCTTTTAAAACTCGACATCGAATCAACACCCACTGAGGTTGGCGCGGCACGTGCAGGCAGGGCCAGAAATGCATAGAGCTACCTTGGTCTCACGCGCACGGCGGGCGGCAACATCATGGCACGGGCTATTTGGAGAGACGGCAATCTAGACGCCTTTACGGCCAATGTCTGTTCTCAATTTCCTACCCTCCTGCATCCAGCACATTTACTTTGGGCTGCATGAACCTAGGGCAGAGCCCCACCGCAGCTCGCCGATCATTCAGATACGAGCCGCAATCGGCGTGTATCATCGGGAACAGAATCCAGGGAGCCGGGAGTTGTGGTTCAACTCACTAACCAGTGGCAGGGGAGGCCCAGTGCTTAAATGACAGCACCACAGTACCCTTATACCTCACACAAAGACAAATATACCCCCCTCCCGCCCCCCAACTTCACAGGGACATACAAACTGTTGTGGCAAAGCGCTTTCAGCAAGCATCAATTAAGGCATGCGTGGAACTCTAGGGCATTGTGTGGTCAGCACCAAGCCTCACCACCTCTGCCTACCCAGTGCTGATGTTTATACACGGCACCAGGTACTCATTAAAGGCCAAGTCAGCCCAGGTAAGGCCCAGTGCAAGTGCTGATATCACTGGTCACTGACGTGAGTTAGCTGTATAGTTGGAAATCAAACTCAGGTGAGATAGGGTGTTAGTGCAGTGCACTTAACCACCACACCATTACCCCCCCCCCCCCCCCCCCCCCCCCCCCCACCCCCCCCCCCCCCCCCCCCCCCCCCCCCCCCCGAGTACACAGACGCACGCACGCACAAACGCGTACCTGAACCTTAGCTTGCTGGCTGCGCCTGAAAGACGTCTCTCCCTGCTATTGTATGCACTGCAAAGTGTTTGGCTTGGCCAAGGCACATGTGTGACTTCAAATGAAATCGGAGCTTATCTTGGTTTGGGAGAAAGCGGGGGTGGCACGCACTTTTTCTTATCACAAGCAAAGGCTTCACTGGCTCGCATATCCCCGACACCGATAGGACGGGACCTTGGATATGGTACACCCTCGTAAAAATATTATTCGCTGATAAAGACAGAAACTGATGGTAGGTGAGGCTGATTGCAAGCGCGCCGTTTGACGATAAGGTGAAAACAACAGCCAGAAGTGTGGCTTTCAAAACCAATTGTCGTAAACAGGGGCATGTGCGGCTAATCGTGGCAACTATGACATCACCCAGCGCGGCAAGTTATGTTCACAACAATCCAATTGTGTGTTTGTTTTTTTTTTAAAGATGTTTTGTGAAATGTAAGTCATCTGACCCGTGTCAAAACACACTGGCCCAGAATGGTTGATATTCGAGTACAGGTACAATGCTACGTATGGAATCTCAGTAATTATAAACATGTTCAATGTGTGAATATGCTCTCAGTGGGATATTCCTGTATTTATAGTATATTTGGACATCGTTTCAACGTTTTTGTTTTGTTATCGTGCAGTTATTGGCTACAGCCGCACCTCTCTCACCCCCTGCTGTCTGCCAGATCCGATTTGCACAGGCGACAGCCAAGCTTTATGACTTGCTCCTAAAGTAGGCAAGTCCTCCTAATCGCGTGTTGACACAACGAAATGTTTTTGCTTTAATGGGGTTGTTTCTTCTATTGGTGGGACACTTTGTGCACAATGCGGAAGGCGCACCATGATAACGCGGAACGTGCGGCGTTATATAACACAGTTTGTGAGCGGTCAACGATGAACTACTTTCTTGAGCTGCGCGGCCGAACAATGGGGGAATTCTGGGTATACGCGCGGAGTGATACGGTATGCGGCGGCGTACCCTCATCTCAGTCCTCTGTTCTGCCATGGGATACCTACAGGCTGATTTTATAGCGCAAATGTGATTAAAATTTGCATCGTACGTATTCATACATTCATGCCCTGTAAACGTGGCACTTTTCGGGGAGCGCATCTGCCTGCGCGTAGCCACGACAATGTGCATAATAACAACGTTTATGTTGGGTTAGAACGCGCAAATATAAAATGTTTCGTTAACCCACCACCACCCGGACGCGGCCAATCAGTAAGGTTTGTCACGTAAACAAAACGTGCCGATTAGTTACGACTTCAGCACACCGAGAGCAAACCCCAAAAAAACATTTACAATTCTAGCACGACCTTTCGCTGGCGATTACAACCAGATTCATCAGGCGATTTGCCAGAACTGTGAAGAAGTTTTCCTGTTTACGCCTTAAAACAGAGGAAAGGCGACGTCATCAGCGTGAGCCTAACAGGTGCGTGTAGACCACGACGATGCGGCTTCAAGGTTGCGCTTGGTCGTGGGCGGCTGGGTGCAACTCGGACACCAGTCTCTGTCACCCGCCATCATCCAAGCTTCCCCCCAGGTCCTCTACTCAAGACCCACGCCCGTTCAACAATCCCCGCTTCACGGTCACGCCCACAATGCTTTCACGCGCCGCTCCAAACGCTCAAGTGGCCTTCCGTCACCTCGCCCTGAGTCGAAACTCCGAGCGCCTCTCCGCGAGGCTTTGAGGCTCCTTTTCTCGTCGCTCGGTTCAAGGGCGCCCCCCCCCCCCCCCCCCCCCCCCCCAATAACCGCCTTTCGACGTCCCCGAGCCACGCGGGGACACGATGCGCTTCACACTCACACGATCCGATCCAAAAATCGATCTCGAATCGTAATATTCGTCGCCAAGGCCTACGTACGGTACGCCGCGTTCAATTCACCTCCTACGAAAGTTTGCCGCGGTATTATTTCCCCATGTCAAAGAGCAAATCAGATTTTTTTGTGCGTCTCTTTCGGACCTGTTGCTTGTCTTCCTACACTTCCGTTTATATGTTAGAGACCGTGTGTTATTTATTTACACGCCACCTTGTTTTTGTTTTATAAACAGCGTCGCTCAAGACACTCGCCACTGTTCGGTGTGCACAGCCGCGACAAGCGGATCCACAACTCTACCGCACTTGCCGTGGGTGCGAATCAAAATTGCCATCATCTCGGCGCAGTGTGCCAACCACTGCACCACCACACAAAACAAATAGACAAAATCACTCCCCTCCCCCCTGCCGTATAGCCTTATAGACTGCTGGGGCAAAGCGCTGTAAGTGAAAACCTATTCAGGTCTGCATGGCACATAAGAATCAGAATATGTATTCATGCTGGAGGAATCCGATGAGCTATTAAGCTCTTTTTCACAGATGTCCAGTAGGGGGTTGGTGTAGCCAGCATCATGCCCAGCCGCCTTTGTCTCCCAAGTGCCCATATCTAGGTACTCATTTAAGGCAAACTTCCCCCTCGAGGGAGGTTCCAGAACCAGCTCGGACATCACTGACGTCATCTGTGGCTGGAAATGAAACTACCGCTCACCACACACAACGATCCCCCGTATAGCCTGAACAGACTTTTTGGGGCATGTGCTGCTAGCGAGCACCTGTGAAGACCGGCAAGGTACACGAGGGGGTGGGTGGCCAACACCACGCCCGACCGCCTTTGTCTCCGCAATGGCGATGTTTACGCACAAGGTACTCATTTGAGGCCGATTCAGCCTAGGGGAGGCCCAGGACCGGTTCAGATAATCGTCACCGGTGTTGGCCGTGAGCGGGAATCGAACTCGGGTTGCCGGATTCGTAGCGCAGCGCGCTAAACCGCTCCCCACACACGCACGCACGCATGCACACACCCAGACGTTTGCAAAGACAGCCGAGGGACAGCACTTTAAAAAAGGAAAGCAGCACCGGCAGACTGGACAGGCACGCAGGCTTGAGTGGGGCAGCAGGAAGCCAGGTGCGATCCCTGACCTGTGCCGTTTCCTGGCCGGGCTGCTCGACGTGCGTGGGCCGTTCCGTGCCGTTGTTGTTGCCGGCCTGGTGCGGGTAGTACGCGTCCGCCGCCGGCTGGTGCTCTGCAGGCGGCACACAGCGGCGCATCGTCCGTACAGCCCTCCACCACGCCCGTGCAGAACCACCCAGAGCCAGAGAGACAAAGGGGACTAATTGCCCCCTGGGTCTCACACAAAAGAGGTGCCCCCGCACCTCCCCCCACACCACACACAACGTGGTTTGTTTGTGTTTGTGAATAAGGCCCCCCCCCCCCCCGCTGTGGCGTTTTACCCCGGGGCCTCCATCTCCGGGTCTCCAGGAAACTCTGGGCGGCGCTGGTCACTTACACAAAGTGCAGAAGCTGCTCCCTGTGTATGTGTGTGGGGCTGGTACGGGTGGATGTATGTATGTATACTGAACTTGTTTTGCACCGTACGTAGCCAACCTTGCTAATCGGAGGTGCAGGGGAAGGACACAAAAAGCAGTTCTAAAGAAATGAGTTTTCAATCTAGACGATGATTTAAAAATGCATAGCTCCAGTGGCGTCCTAATATCAGAAGGCCATTCCAGACGGCCACAGAAGCGCATCTGAAAGCGCACGATGCGGTAACTATCTTTGTTCGATGGCTCGCCAAAATCCGTTGCGAGGATGACCAAACTTCGCGTGATGGTTTATCCTCCCCGGCTTGCGTGTTTGGATGCGTTGGTGCGCGTGGGGAGCGGCAGCGCAGCGGGCTAGCGTGCTGCGCAACCATTATCGGTGACGCTGCAGCGAGCGGGCAAATTAAGGGGCACGCCGTTGCCAGGCTCTGCTCGTGCCGTCAATCGGGCCGCATTCTCTCACCGTCATCCCAGTCGTTGTCGTCAGGCCGCTCCTGCTCTTCCTCCTCGGGCCTCCACAGGGCCTGGGCCTTCTGCAGCACGGCCGCTGTGCCCGTGCGGCCCGCCGGCGACAGTGGCGACGTCTGCGGCGATGCTGGAGGGCCGGCAGCTGCTGGTGTGGCCTGCGATGGGAACACCTGCTCCAGGGTTAACGATCTCACTCCAATTATCTTCCAAGCCTGGTATGCAGGAGGTCGGGGGTTCGACCCTGACACCTGTAGATTTCGTGTTTGCATGTCTCTCTCCCCGTGGTTGTGTTATCGATGAGCATGCCCCAGGCTTTGGCCGTCCGTGCTTGTGCACCCCACTGCCGGTGCAGCACCCCGATTTCTCGTTTTGCAATTTCGACTTAACTTTGGTGTCTTTTACCTGCTCGTCGTTGACCTGCGGAGCGCGTGTCGGCGATGCCTTCTGCTTCAGTGGCTGCTGCTGCTGCGGCTGTTGCTGCTGCTGTTGCTGCTGCTGCGGCTGTTGCTGCTGCTGCGGCAGCTGCTTCTTCGGCTGCGGTGGCGACGGCGGCGGAGGCGACGCCGATATCGACGGTGGCGGGGAAGCCGCCCTCTTCTCTGCCGCCGGGGCCTGGCTCTCGGAGCGACTCTGCCACGGCGGAGACGCAGCAACAGCAGCAGCAGCAGCCGCCCGGGGAGGGGAAGTCTGCCGGGCCGAACGCTCCGGCGACGCCGCCTGCCGTTTGTCGGCCGGTCGGTGCGAGTCCACGTCCGTCGATGCCTCGAACTCAGGAATCTCGAACACTGTGGATGAACGGGGCCGGATTAAGAATCGTTGTCTTCAAATGGACAATGGAGTCAGAAGTTTGTTTCCCACCAAGTAAAGTTCATAGAGAGCCAAGAAGTTATTTTTTTTAAGGGCGACTCAGCCAGCCGACGATATGAAAGCATATAAAGGTTTACTTGTTATTAAGTTGGAATTCTCGTAGGCACTCTTTGTGAATGAAGCTGTTGGTAAAGTATGTGTTTAGCATACTTTTAATAAAACACTATAACGGTGGTGCAGTGGTCAGCATGCTCAGCTGAGGTGGATTACTGGCCAGTTAACCGGGACAAGTGATACCTCAATCTGTCATAGGCCGCCCCCCTTCACTAACCCGGACTGACCAGTATGGTGAAGGATGGAAAACATAACCCCCATGGCCAATGTGGGATGGTGAAGCCTTTATCCAGTAGTGGATTGACAAAGAGCAGTAAATTAGTACCATATATTAACACAGTAACTCACCTATCTCGGGTAGGGTGCTTAAATAACCAACGAAAAGGTTTCAAATTACTGTCTGCAGCCCACAAAGATGGCAGTCTTACGGATGAACTGGTCTTCACCACATGAATTTAGAGTAAATTTAAAGGATTTGGCTGCAATACATTTGCACAAGTCACTTCTCTGACCTAACATTTGTGGCCAGGTCGCTTCTGAAACAGCGCTATATAGCTCAGCGGGGGCCTTACCCGAAAACATTTTAATTGTTTATCGAATACACAATTTTCCACCACTGGCTCACAGCATTGTCCCACGTTCAACCGACAGCACAAAGACGAAATGTCCTCCTGCCATGTCACAGTGTCACCTGATCCGGTTACGTAACACCGACTTGCATTGTAAGATGCATATCTGTTAGGGACGTACAGCTCTCTGGAAGCTCAAGTTCTTGTCCTGAAGAGGGATTGGACTCGGCCAAAAGAACGTGGAATACAAATTATGGACTTGGGAGTGCCAGCCGGAGATGGGCACCACGGCATTGTTCACTCCCCGAGAAGGAAGACAACTTGGATTTGAGGAATTATGGAATTTGCAACTTTGCTGTGAAAGAAGATTTTCACGAGATTGATATTTTGGTGCCACATATTTGCACAAGTTCACGAGCAGTAAAGGCATACGGGGGCCTTCAAACGTTTATGGAAGAGATCCACGTCAGAAAGGCCACAGTCAGCAGACATTCGCGCGGCAATTTCATTGCACAGTACACATTTGTGTTATCGTTGCAGCGCTGCATTTGTGAAACATGACATTAAAGTAAAGTCTTAAAGTGACTTTATCAATCAAAATAATAAACGTGATAAATAGCTGTTAATAGTTTTCACTCGCTGTATATCAAGCTTGACTGAAGGATAAACATCATGAAAATAAGCACCCCGTGATGATTAAGCCCGCAATAAAAGATCACACCCAAATGTATAAATATCTGCAGGACAATCTGGCTGAACGATGGACGGCAATAATATTTATGTCTGCTCCAAGTCGGTGTATTTGACACCCAGATTTCAGAGTTCAAAGCCTCGAATTCTGATAAATGCAACCAGAAAAACAAGTACATTTTATTTGACAGTTTAGTTCGTCGAATGCGTCGTGTACCAGGCTGTCGAATATGTGTATACCACGATGGCAGAGGTTGGAGCTTTTTTTAAATGCTGAACAAAAACTACTTCTTTACCAGGTAAAACCAACCGAGCTATATATCTCTTTTCCAGAAGTGACCTGGCCACAAATGATAGCTCAACGAAGTGGCTTATCATGTGCAAGTTTATAGCGGTCAAATGATCTAAATGCATGTTTCTAAATTTGTGTGTCGGGGGGGGGGGGATCGGAAGACACGGATAAAAACCCACCTGACCACGGGGAGAACATGTAAACTCCAAATATACAAGTGTCAGGGGGTTGGGATCAAACCCAAAAACCACCTGCGTACCAAGTGAGGAGGATAACATCTCGCCACCACGGCACCCTCTCGATGCGTTTATAGATGTAGCCAGGGGCAGTGGAGTGCTGTCACTGCATGGAAATTGTATTCAGATTACAGGAGTGAAACTGGAGCATAATTACGCGGATGCTCCTGACCGGGATTTTAATACATTTTTTGCCGCGAATGAAGCTTAACAGTTACGTGTTGGATAGGCATGAGGTCCGTGTAAGTATCTCCGAGTAAGATTATTTGTTTAATGGGTTTGCTTCTTCGTAAAAAAAAGTAACACAAATCGGAGTCGGTGTCTCTGTGCTCAACTGAGGCTCAAGCGGTAATCGTCTCCTTTGGCAATCTTCTTCCTCGGGCTTCCACAATGTCGACATCCTGCAAAGCGTTCGTCAGTTGATTGACTTTGGAGCGATAACCAGAAGACCCGACACCACCAACCGACACTGCAGACTGGGATTGGAAATTGCAACCTTCCAATTGTGAGTGAACAATATTTTAACAACAGCATGTAAACATTGTTTTAACTCAGATGAAAATAAAACGGAAACAAAAAAAAGCCTCAATGTGAGCACACAAATAAAAAAAAGTCTGGAACGACTTTAGTTTAGAATTGTTGACGGACCTGTTACATGATAGGAGTTTTTAGGTTAAATTTGTAAAGAAAATGTGTCGTCAAACCCACCACCACCCTACACAGCTAATTAGTAAGGTTTGTCAACAAGACGTGCCAATTCGTTACTAGTTCAGTACACCGTTGTGGGAGAATAAACCCACAACATTTACAATTCGAGTACGATGTTTCACCATTAATCCAACACGCCGGTGTGCTGTACTAGTAACGAATTGCCACATTTTGTTCACGTGACAAATCTTACTAATTGGCTGTGTTGGGTGGTGGCGGGTTTAACAACACATTTATATATTTACACGATCTAACCCAAAAACCTCTATTGTGGATATTGGTCGTGAAAGCACACGTGTGAAACGTTACACTCCACAAAACACCGAACAATGCTGAAGTATAGGCCCCTTCTGCCAGCAGTGGCATGAGCAGGCAATTGCAGGACTGCTCCCTTACCTGCTACATGCACTGCATTTGCCTCGTATTTTAGTCCAGGTTACCCTTGAAAAAGAGGTTCATCTCGAAAAGGCCGTCACGTCGTTATGATAATGTATGCATGCAGAACTTATTTTGCGCCATACGTAGCCAAACTCTGCTCATTGGAGGTGCTAATTGGCTGCCAAACCTGCCAATCGTTATAAATGTTAAACTGCATTCGTAGCAAAATCGCGCTATTTTAAATGAAACGTGCACAGCTGCTCTGCCCAAGTTAACGAGTCGGCATTTTTGTGGCTGTAAATTCCGCGTCTGGTGCGTGCCTGTCGTGCCGGTCAGTTTATTTGCTTTGAGGTGGTCAAATTGGATACGGCCAAGCAGGAAATCCGCAAATATTGCTGAACAAAAAAAACACTACCGTTCCTGCCACGCATCCGCCACCAGGCCACGTGTTCCTTTGCTGCCGTCCCTTGATGTGCGACCGTCGCTATCAGATCCTGGCTGCCAGCAAGCTTGGAAATCGGGATAAATCAGCAAGCTTGTCAAATCCTTCGTGACCTTTCAAGAATGTGTCACTTCCACAGACTTTGCTCATTTGCAACGCCCGCCACCGACCTTGAGAGAAACAGTAAGCTTGAACGCGACAAAGGCAAAAGGAAAAAGCAAACAAAGGTAATCAAAAGTAAAACATCGAGCTGAAACTAGATTTTATTTTTATTCCATTTTTGTACACGGTGTACTTTTACACAGCCATATATACCCAAGGTCTGCTTTGAACACTTATTCACCATTTCCGCTTGTGGTATTTGTCTTCTCAAGAGAAACTGCCGATTACACCCACACATCGGAGGGCTAGACTCACCCCATCATCATCTCACCATGGTTAAAAATGACCACTATGTGGAAAATAAACATGCAGACTAAAGCGCCTCCTTCACATGTCTGTCCCTCCACATAAAACAGTTTCAGCAGCATTGCTTCAACACAAGCACAACCCTGGAATCATTTAAACATAATGTCTCATCGGCAGAGTCTGACTTAACTTGAACCAATGTTGGCCAACTGCCAGATGCTTGCATGTACGTATGGTGAATTTCTTACACACAGTACGTAGCCAATCATGCTAATCGGAGGTGTTTATAGGCAAGCAACCACAACAATGTTCATGATTATTCCGCACTTTGTGGGAACTCGATGTGAGTCATCTAATGAGACGAGTGACCCTTGCTCAGAACGTGGAATTCCCACAACTGGCTTAGGGAGTCAGTATACGAGACACTGGGCCACAAAGTCCTATTTAAATTGTGGCGCATTACAAGACTGATGACATCCAGAATCAGAATCTTTATTTATCCTGGAGAAGAAATCTGATGAGCTACAATGCTCTTTTTCACAGTTTTCCAGAAGGGGTGGCTCAGCAAGTTACAACAACAAAAATAAATGAAGAATACATGAGTAAGAAAAATACTAATAACTTTAATTTATAGAGTCATTCATGCCAAAAGCATCCCATAACGCTGTAAGTTATTAAAATATATAAAAGGGAAATGTGTGAATATGTGTGTCTGTTCGAAATATTTAGCATACTTCCCAACGTGCAACAAACTTGAAATTTGGCATGTGGGTAGCTTCCAGACTGTACACAATGCAAAAAAGTATAAAAGTAGACTTTTGTATTTTGGGGGGGGGGGCGCAATAATTTATATATTTTGCACGGCAAGTGAGCGGTGACGTTACATCTGTGATGTCACAGCGTCACGCAGTGTGCCTGCTGACGTCACGCATCCCCCCTCCACCCTCCGTGTAGGCCGTGTATTAATCCAAGACAAGAATCCAAGTTTCAATTTGAAGCTTTCGTGACTGCAAGGATTCATCTTCTTTGGTTCTTTTGGTAAGGTCACGTAGAATGAGAATAAAATAATAAATTGATAAAATAAAATAACACAATAATATTCTCAAGACATTTCGGCAACAACACAAGCAGCCTTAATCAG